AACGTATTATTTAAAAAAACCAAATTCTTTTTACCCTGTTAACATGTTCGTTAGTCTGTTGAGGTATTTATTGTCGTGAAATAAATGACGTAGTGGCGCGGGTTTAGGTTTATGAAGGCTGCCGCTATATATCCGCGGAGATATCGACTAACAGGCTGCCACGTCAGGTGGGTCTGATAGTGCTCGCCACTCAATTTAAACTCTTGTAATATTATTATCTTCCTCGAATCCTAGCCGTTTACTTCGTGTCAGCTGCCTGATGAATGAGGGAAAAAGATTTGTTGCTGTAATGCCCTTTCACATGCAGAGGTATCAATGATATATTTTTCATTTATTTATTTTGTTCGGCATATCAGATGATAAATTATATATTATAAGTTATATCTCTCTTTTTTTTAAGCAATTTTTACCTAAGTCAGGATTTAAAATTAAAATTTTTAATGTGAATATTTAAATTCTTAATCATTAAACATTTTTTTTTATGATTGATTATACAATGAGAGGCAATCCTCTCCTATCCCTTGTCTCACCCTACCTGCATGTCATACAATTCAAATTTAAGATTTTTTACTTTCAGTAAAAAAAAGATTATTACTAAGTTATTTAAATTATTAGTAATCATTAAACATTTTTAAACTATAAATTTTTTATTTATTAGGACAATATGAAAGCTGATTTATTTATTACTTGTTCAAAAAAAAAAAACTGATTTAACTCTATTAAATACACTAATTAAGAAATATTAAGATGTCCGGTCAGTTTTTTGAAAAAATGATTAACCATTTTTATTTTACAATTTTTTATAGAATATTAGATGTCATTTAATTTTTAGTTCTTCTCATTTTATTAACACTGTGATATTATATATTTATTACTTTAATAACATATAAAAACAAAAATGGTACACATGAACTATATATCATTACCCTGGTTTTTCTTTTCTTTTCTTTTTTTTGGGCAAAGACATCATTTTACTATTGATTTATCATTTTAGTAAATTTGATTACATTGCTATAATTAGGATAGCCATTTTTGAACTCAAGTAATATTTATTTTTAGGGCATTTAATTACATTGTTATATAAGTAATACCCATTTCTTTCTCAAATAATTTATCCAGTGCTATATAAGAAGTATAGTCATTTCTTACCAAAATAATTTTACATTTGTATTGGGAATTGAACATGTAACTTTTAATGTATATCCAATTTTATCGGTTTAAATATTTGAAAGCGTTGATTTGTGTAATAATAAAAAAAAATTGTTTTTTTGAATTATAAGGCATAGTTTTTAAGATGTGTTTCATGGCCTTTTCCTTTTGGATTAACAAAATCATTAAGAGGGAAGCCCCCATTCGGGCAGAGGTGGAGCTTCCGAGGTCCAAATACCCAGCTCTGCTTGTTCATTGGACACTCTTAACCATTGTGCAAAGAGAGAGATTTCCATAGAATAGAGTAAAATCAGTACACATACAACTTTACACACAGTTTAAAAATTTCCTTCCTGGTGAAGAAAATTAACCAATACCAAATTCAGCAAAATCTGCAGGGGGAAAATTTGATTTCCCATTGAATAATCTTCTCATTTTTCTTAGCTTTGTTTTTGAATTACTCCAGTCGTTTTTGAGGGGAAAGCTCTTCCTTCTCCCCCCTGAGTTTTAGCCTTCTCTTCTACTTTTCCATTCTCTTTCTCCCTCTGACTTGAGAGATGAAAAAATTAAAGAGAATAGAAGAACTTAGATATCTTCAAGAGACTTCTAGCTACACGCTCAAGCCATCAAAACCACACTGCTTGTAAGTAAGAGACTGCTTCCTTGGACTGATCACTATTGCACAGTCGACCGATACCTGCAGATTCCGACCCAATTCACTTGTCAATTGCAAGAAAATAAAGTAAAAAAAATGATATTTTAGTAAACCAAAACAATAAGCCTAAACATCAATACAACATGGGACGTTGAAGGTAACACATGAAATCTGTCCAAATACAATAGATGCATACAAGTTCACACAAGAAGCACAAAATGAATCTTCTAGACTCAGAGACATATGACATGAATGCTCAGCTACACTAAGGTCGCCAGATATATTTTGGTAACTTGTCTTTCATAAAAAAAAATAAAAAATAAAAAAATAAAAAAAAAAAACATGGGCAGACAAAGAGAATACATATGCATATGGGTCCTTACCTCTGCGAGATGGCAAGTAGCCAAACATTAATGCTTTATAAGTTAGGTTGCTTAATAGCTAAAAAAATGATAGGTAACACTTTCAGATTCCTGTTTCTTCGAATCCCACTCCCTTTACCCACTTTGCACACTTCAGATATTTATCTTTTCCTTTTTGCCCCGCTTTAGACACAGATCTAATAAGAAGAAAAAGAATGAAGTTCTGCAATTCGAATCTTCTTTCCAGAACCTTAAAATTTTAATACAAAGAAACAAGAAAAAGCTTCAGCAAGTCCTAAAATTTTCTTGATAAGCTATCTTATGCCATGCCTTGCCTGCTACCTTGTTAATTGGATTCCACAATGCACCATGTGGGTCCATGAACCACATGGGGAGAGGAGAAAAGAAATCGAAGAAGTCTTTTTCTCCCCTAAAATGACTATCACAATTATTTTGGTTGTTTCTTTCTACCCTTGGACATAAATAAATGTGAAACAGCATCCTACAATTCACATCCACTCCTCTCTCTATCCACTTCAAAGAGAAAAACTAATCAACAACCCAAGTTTTCCTCCACCATAAAAGTTTCAAAATTAATGCTCAGCCACATTTATCAAATGCGCCAATGTAGGAGAGAGGTTTGTTAGTCCAGTTACTAAAATATATAATATATCAAATATATAACAAATCAATAATAATTCAATTTCTAAGTCAATAAAGGGCATATTATCTTCCAGACTTTTTTCCCAAATGTAGGGTCACTAAGTCAAAAGCATAAAAGAACCATTCCCGAACTCCAAAAAATTCTGGGTAGCAAGTCAAGAATCCAAGAGCACGTTCACAAAATGAATGAACAATTGCCTGAAATTTTATTTAATACCCCTACATATAGAATCCATAAACCCCCCTTTTTTTTCCAATTAGCATGGACTTCTTTACGGGAGTATACAGTTCTTTTTAAATCGAACTGCCCAACTAAAAATTATTGAACGAAGAGTTAGTCACTCTTTTTTTAAATAATTTATATTTTATAAATTAAATTATAAAATAATTTTTTTAAAAAAATCACAATAATATATAATTAAAAATATCAAAATATTCAATCTTAATTATTAAATTATTAAATATAAAAATATAATATAAATCTTAATTTTATTAAATTTATCATATAATTTTTTTTTTATCCGTCAATTTATTTTCACTACTGAGAAAAATCTTGAGTACGAACAAAATACACCCGCTCCTAAGCGACCAAAGAAACGCGCCAATAGCATAGGCAGTATAAGTAATAGGTATAGAGCGAAACAGGACACGCCGCAAAGGCACGTTGCCGTGACGCCGTTTGTACGTATCGAAAACGCGCGTGGGAGAAAAATCGACAACCGATATTAAAGTTGGGACAGTGCTTTTTAGAATCGAAAAAGACATTAACCAATATAAATAAATAAATAAATAAAACAAAAACACAGAAATTAAAAGAAAAACAGAAGTTCTGGCAAATATAAAAAAAATAAAAATTCTATCCTATAGAATCCGAGAAAAAAACGTACCCTTCATTCACGTCAGTGGGACATAATCGACGCAAGTTAGTAAAGACAAACGACGCAAATGTGGGGCTCACGTTAGCTAAAAAGTAGAAGGGGACAGCCGGTGGTGGGAATGGCGCGGTGCCGGCACGCCGTGACTTCGAGGCTGAAGCCATGTTCTTAGCTCAGCGCGGCACCGCCGCTACACCGCCGTGTAGGGAGGAGAAGAAATAGAAAATGGGTCTGGCAGGTCAGGACCTAATGCCCAAAACTAGAAATGTGTATTCCCAGTTTAGTTGGGAAGGAAAAGAGGAAATTGTAGCTAAAATTGGGTTATGGGAAATCGGTTGTGGCATGCAGAAACGTTGAAGGGGAGAAAGTATGGAAATGCCATAATTAGAAATGGGGAATGGGATTAAGAATTTTACCCAAAAAGCTAAAATGAAAATTGGGGTTGAAATAAAGAGAAAGGGGAAGAGAATTCGTGACCTGAACGCCGGGAGAATCGAAGTCCATGACCCGGATCTTAGCGCCAACATCACCCAGGACTCGAAGCTCGACGCGGTCATTGAGAGAAGCATCCCTGATTAAATCAGCAGCATCGGCTTGCATCAGATTGGCACGATCAACAGCTATAGTGGCCTCCACGTTTCTGACGCTGTGGGCCTCCTGGAAGAAGCCGGGAACAGAAGCTTTACCCAACGGAATTCCACGGTACATGACTGTAAATCTGGACTCACCATATTTGATCCCGACTTTATTGGGATTTACAGCGGTGAAAAGCATGTGTATGGTTAGAGACAAGGAAGCGGTGGTGGGGTTGGTGACGGCGGGGGCAGTGCTGTCGAGTGAGGTGGGTGCGGAGATGCCCATGTATTGAACTCCTACCTGTTGGAGATCGAACTGGGGCTTTTTGGGTTTGACGGCGAGGATGATGATGAGGACCACAGCGAGGACGAGTAGAGCCAGGAAGGAGAAGAGGAGGAAGAGGCAACAGCAGCAGCCCTTGAAGGAGGCTTTTGAAGATGAGGTTGGATAGTATTGGCGGTCGTGGTGGTATTGAGGAGGAGGAGGAAGAGGAGGACGGGGTCCGCGGTGTTCGCCATTAGGATTGGCGTTGGGTGTGGTTGTTGGTAATACTTCTCCTCCTCTGTCTCTCATTGAAAGGTACTGAGGTTGCTTTAGGTAGAATGTTCCTTGCTTTTGGAAGAGAGAGTATGGGATGGTGGGAGTGGGGAGTGGGGAGTGGGGAGTGGAGGAGTGGGAGAGGAGTGACCCTTTTCTTGGGTGATGATGACTTTGCTTGACAGATAAACAAGAGAAACTCAAGAGAAAAAGAGGGACCGAAGAATGGGGATATCTCCTCACTCCTCTGCCGTGCCTGTGACCACCCCCTTTTTTCCTTCGGTGTTTAAAAAAAAAAAAAGAAGGAAGGGAAAATGTGGAGATTGAAAATTAAATAAGAGTTTAGGGTGGTTAAATTATAACATAATATTATATAAATATGATATTGTATTAAATGAATAGACATGTATAATAGTATATATAAATTATTAAATATAAAAAATTAATTATATAATAATATATTATATTATAAATTTTTAATATTACATAATGTTTACACCATAAATTGTAAAAATTTAAGATCATGTCACGTGTTAAAATTTTTTAAATAGATGAAGAAGATTAGACCATGTTAGATTCATGATTTTGAACCTCATGACAGATCAGCTGTCATTTTGGCAAAAAATAGGAGATAAAGATGAGATTTTACTGTATAATTATCTTTTTGATGCAAAAATGGACTGTTTGAGCTAAAATATAAGAAAAGATTGCAATTAAAGAAGGGTTTTATTTGATAAGAGCACAAGTGGTGAAAATCTAGAAGAAGATTAGACCAAATCAATAGGTGAGCTGTCACATTACTTCAAGAAACTACCCACAACTTTGTAACTACAAAAAGTAAGGGTTTACTGCCAACCAAAAGAGAACAAAAAGGAAATTTTAGAAAGGAGAACACACGGCCAATTTTACTCAAACATCTGCAAATTTTCAGACCTTTATCTTCTCTGCAAAAACTTCTAAATTTCGGATTTCCGCACATATTCCAGTAGATTTAAGTTGTTTTTCATCATTCCAGTAGACAAATTATTTCATGTATTCAATTCAACAATTTCCTTTCATGCAATGAACTTCAACCTTTCAAGTTTATGTAAGGTATTGTTCTCTTTCTATTTGCAATTAATTTAATGTTTATGATAAGTAGCATTTTATTCAATGATTACTTATGTGGTGTTCATACTTTTTTTCAACTTCAAGCATGTTAATTTAATCACTGTTCACATTAATTTTACTATTAATTAGAGTAAAATCTTTAATTCTGCAATAATTTAATTTCTAGATCTGCTAGTAGATAGCATTTTAATTTAACAATGAATATGTTTGATTTAATTTAGGCACATTTTATTCTCGCAAATTTATTTTAAATTGCAAGTTATTTAGTTCAATTAGGATTTGTTAATTTTAAGTCACAGTAGTGTTTAAATCCTTGAAGTTGTCTAAGGTAGATTTTGTAACCCATTCTGTAGGAAGATATCCCTCTCTCTTGCAAATCATCTGTAGGTGCAGATTTTAATTTTAATCCAACGTTCTTCCTGCCATCTGCCAAGAGGTCGACCCTGAGGAATGAGAGGATTGTTGGAAAAGTCTTATTTTCTTACTTTTAACAAAGTAAGTGGCACGCCCCGTATCCAAATTTTACATATGCAAGGCCATTAAAGGATTTTTTGGGGAAACACATGATATTATAATTATAAAATTTTAAAATTAAATAAAGATAAATAAAAAAATTATTCATTTTATATTATAACACTCTTAATACCTATTAAGAATTGTTTACCGTCCACTTGAAGATGGAATAGATGAACTACCAGTTCAAATCCGTTGTTTCATTTGTTTCAAAGAAAAAAGGGAATTGGTATTACCACATGAACATGTAGTTAAAATGGGAATCTTCATTTGTGTAGGGATCATTCAATATCTTGGGCCAACTTTTATGCATTGGATGAAATTCATCTCTTTAATCATCTCATGGGTTAATTAGTTCCTAAAGAATTCATAAAAAAATTACCTATTTATTTACTTACTAAAAATTCAAAATGGTAATAGACCCCTCACTAATCAACTATCACCTCTTAAAATCTTGTATAGAATAAATAAGTAAAGGGATATTAATTAACTTGCAAATGTGTTGTTTAATCACTGAAGTTATTAGATGAAAAGAGGGCTACTGTAGAAGAGCTGCAACCTCTCTTTTTTTCGAGCAAGGATAACAGTGGAGGAAATGGGACTACAATTTACACGGAGGGATGGGGATTGCCCCTCAACACACATAGCCAACTCAACTCCTGCCTAGGTTGGGTGGCCACTAAGCCACACAATGTGGTTGGAGGAAGAGCTCTAACTTCCAATAAATATGATTGGTAAACCCTACATTAAGCCCCAAACTTATTCTAAATCCTTGATTAAACTCCTAAATTTTTATTAAAGCAAATAAACTCCTGAACTTAGTAACCTGAGCATGAATAATCCTTCTAAGAGAAAACTATCCCCTCTTTAATAACCCATAATTAGGCATACCCAACAAGAAAATGAGAAAAATGTATCTTGGCATCAAAACATGGTCAGATTGATGCTATTGGATGAAATTTCAAAAAGAGCTCTATTTCTTGTTCAATTTTGGCTATGCTGATAACTCGAAGAGTTACCATTTCTAACAGTACCACAACACAATTGGATGCTACAGACAATCAAAACATTCTGCTGAACAGACACTCTTAAGTCCAACACAACCAAGCACATTTCGTTGCAAGTTCTATTTGAAGGGGTTTAAAATAGTGCAGTAAATAAGTAAATTCATTCTTTTCTTTCCAAGAGATAAATAACAAAACCAGAAAGTTTATGTATACTACCAGATAAAATCCTCCTACGTGCACAAAACCCATAACTCACACTAATTTTGAAAGAAAACAATAGATAAAGTGATAAATAAAAAGGGAAAAATTGCAGCCTGAATGCTAGAAAAGAAAGGCTACAGAATACAAAGCAGACCTACCAACGATGAACCTGGAATCATTGGCTTCAATCATTCTGGTCAATGTTATTGGGCTTTGGACTGGTATTAACAGCTTCTGCTTTTGCTGTCTCATCGTCTCGCCTGCCATTGTCAACAACATCCAGCACATCATCTATCATGTCATCCTCTCCAACATTGATATCTTCCACATCATCCTCATCATCATTGCTCCCACCTGGAATCTTTCTCTTCTTTGGACCATGCTCAAGCCTGTGGTAATCCAATTCTTTGTCCATTGTTTCCTGCAAGTTAAGATCATTGTTTGCTTTCCTAGCTTTCCTTGCATTTTGCCATCTCTCCAACTCCTTTTCAACATTGGCTACATACTGATCTGAAATCTGCTTCTGATATTCAGATAGTTCCTCTCTCCTAGCAACCTTCCATTCTAAAAATGCCTGCTAAGCAAAGATGCAAGTGTAAATTAGTGAACAAATAGAACATAAATCTTACTCTACAAATAAAAACCAATGTCAGCCAATCTAATTCCCATTCCCATTCTTTTTCTGTTTGGTAAACTAAGAGCTGAACTTAAGTAGTGAGAATTTAAAAGCCCAAGTGCAACATCCCACCATTTGAAAGACAATCATAAGAAATTGGGCGAGTTTCTTAATCATATAAGATTATGGACTGTTTCAATACAGGTACTCGAAAAGGAAACGGAAGGAACAAACCTGTTCTCTGTGCTGCTCACGTAAAGTTTCGTCTTCATCCAATGGTTTAGTTGGCAAGTAGTAAATTGGAGGCTCCGTTTTAGTCCTGAAAAAATATCCCAAAAGCAATCAAAAGGAGCAGAAAATTACAAAGAAAAAATGTTCCAGTTCTACCTAAGATCCTGTACTGAAGGAAACATTATTTCTTCAGTAGCTCTTTCTCCCACACTATCTATTCACATGAATAGAAACTTATCTTTGTCTCAATAAAATTGTGAATATGGACACTTTCGGACCAAAGTTAAAAATAACCTGCAACAGATTAGCACATGGAAGGTTGTTAACATACAGGCCTTTGACTTTCAAAGGAGATGGTATTCAAAAAAATATCCAGAGAATGTGAAAGTTTGAAGCAAACCTTATAAAATTGCTAAGGTTTTTATGGTGCTCACTCCACTGAAGAAACAGCAATTCCAACTTCTTTTCTTCAGCCTTAGCAGCTACACGTGCTCTGAGAGTCTAAAGTGCAGTAGATAAAAACAACAATGAGAATAAACAAGGCACATTTTCTTACTTGTACATGACACAAATCCAAGTTTCAAATGAACCAAATAAATATATAAAATATAACAGTCAAGTAACAAACCAGATCTCTCCTCCGTTTTTCGGCAATTTGTTCACGCTCTTGTTGCCTCAGCTTTTCACTTTCTTCACGTGCTCTTTGCTCAGCCTAGGAATAGATACATAACCCAGGTATCCATTATTATCAACAAAAGAGTGTTCCATGCTAAAGAGTTAAAATGAAGTCTTAAGTATAAAATCTTGGATCAGTTGGTTATTCACAGTTCCACAAGCTAAAAACAAAATAAACAGAAATGCACCACCAAAAAAATTTGAAAAGAAAATAAAGTATTATCAATATTGCAGTCACTTATTTCAGAAACTCTTTTAAGTTATGAATTATGTCATAACAGAGGCACATATTTTTTATCTTATGCTAGCCTGTTCTGTGTTATATATTCCCTTAGAATTCCTATGCTGATGCAAAGTATAAAGAAAAGGGTTGCTTAAAATACAAGTGGAATTAGGAAAAAAATAGAATGAGATGGCATGCTTACTCTTTGCAGAGAATTTGACCTTCTCATAAACGCCTCTGTTCCTGATAGTTGCTTATCTTCTTTCCTAAATTTCTGGAACAGTTCCATAGGAAAATGAGACAATAGAAAACTATGGATAAGAAAGCTCCATGAAAGAAAGAAAACACTCTCCAAAAATGTAGATCCATCCAATAGTCTGACAGAGTCACTCCCAAGGAAAAAGCAGCCATTGAAGGCATACCTCCAAAGTTCCCAAAAGTTGCCCCAGCATTCTTTTGTTTCTGTTAACCAAGCTTGGATCTTCATTCTTCGGTAAAACCCTTGGAACATGCTCTGTGATAGGTGGTAGAGTATCCTAGAAACAATAGACAACAATATGAAGTCCTTGCATATGGAAAGAAAGAAAGAAAAAAAAAAAAAAAAAAAGACACCGCTCAATTTAATGAGCTTAATGCTGTACCTTTCTTGCTGTTCTTTGATCAGGATCTCTCCTAGACCAACCACTTTGTGGCTTTCTATCACTCAGATTTTCATTTTCTTCACCAGATCCATCCACAGATGCATCTTTCAGCTTCACATCCTTCGCAGCATCAGCGTCCTCAGCAATTTCTCCATCCTCCACCTTCACTCCCATATCAAGAAAACATAATTAATTTTATTCCAGACCATGCTAAAAGGGTGGAAAGATTAGAAAAGGTGCACTGACACTTATCAGGCTTCAATAAGTGATAATATCAGAGCAAAAGCCACTTATGGCACAAATTCCTCATAATAAGTAAACATTCGATCAAACATATCATAGCTTACTTGAAGAAGATAAGGAGCATAAGTTGGTACAGGCACAGCATAATTCAATAGTTACTTGTCTGGAAAAAAAAATACACTTATACCAGAATCCAAAAACACAATATCCAATAGCCTCAGCTATCAAAAGCAAGATAGACTAACAGATGCCCACGAACAACATTAAACCACAAGGAAAAGGATATAACACAATCAAATATACTAGGTTTTTACCTTGACGACAGCAGACGACAATCGCCTCTTAGCAGGAGGTTGGTCTTCTGTATCATTTCTATCCCCCTGCAGCCAATGGAAAACCCACTATTACAACCCC